CATTAACAGTTCGACCATTTTCTGCAACATTTATGATACTGACAATTAATACTTGACCAATTGTAAGTTGATTACCATTCTTAAACTTTTTAATATAGCTTTGTGAATTTTTATTATTTAAGAAAGTGTTGATATTATTAAATCCTGTCGAAAGAACATAACCATGATCTTCTATGCTTTTTACTGATGCAGATAATATCTATAAAAATCAAAAAATCAATTTAACTCGATTTTTTCTTAATATATATGTATATACATTTAAAAAATAAAAGTATAAATCATTTTAGTCAAGTACCATTCCTTTTGATAAATCAGACTTCACAATGCTGCTGTTTACTTTTTTTGGATTCAGGCTTAACTGAATTCGTTTGTAATTATTATCTATTCTTGTAACTACACAAGAAACCCATTGACCTATTTTAAACAATCCTTTCAAGTTTGGTAATTGTGAATCCTCATTGTCTTCTTTTTCATCATCATCTTCTTGATCGCTATCATCCTCTTCATCATTAACATATTTATCAACGATTTCTGATAGCTCATCAGAAATTTCATTTATTGAAACCAATCCTGTAAGTTGATTAGGAAGTGAAATTCTTAGATCCATTTGATTAATATGGGTTATTTGTCCTAAGCAATGAGCCCCGACCTTAAGTTGCTATATAAAAATCATTGATCATTAATTTAGTAATTGAATTCCATCAATTAATTTTAAAAAAGTTTTTTTTATAAATTCAAAACAGCTTACTCCAAAATTAGATTTCTTTGGTTTTTGAACTTTGGGGGTTTTTTTTATATATATTAGAAAGTAGCTGAAAATTTTATTTCAAGTCCAATTGGAATATTTTATCCTAATCAATCAGTTCTTTGTTTAGTGACTTCCATTGATTTAGAGAATTCCAGATGTGAAGTATCATTGAAACCTTCTGAAACACCTATTAAATCATGCCCATATATTTCTGAGGTGGATTTTATCAAATCTTATTTTAGTGATATTTTACCAAAAAAAAATCAAAAAAAAGATTTGATCAATCAAAAAGTCAAGATAGGTGACATAATTAAGTGCAAGATTAAACAATTTTCAGAATTAGAATTTGGTGGTGGGTGGGTAGTTGATGTAATGTTAGATGGTAATAATGACAATGACAATGATAAAACAATTAAAGGAATTATTAATGAAGAGCAAGCTAAAACTAGAAGTGATCTTAAAAAAGGTGATGAAATATATGGAATGGTTATTGATTATGATATAAATGAAGATATTGTTGATATAGCTATTAGACCACAATTAATAAATAATAATATTAATATTAAAAAATCCAAAAGAAAGAAAAATAATGTAAGTTTAATTTATCCAAAATTTTATATAAAAAAAAGGAGCAGCAAGATCTATCTTTTTTTTTTGAAGTTTTATATTAATTTTATTTAATTTTGCAGAAAAAATTGGCAAATAAGATTGCTACAGAGACATCTATTGAAGCTTATATTGAGTTAGTAAAGGAAGATTATGTTGTAATATCATTACCAGAATATGAAAATTCATTAGCATTTGCTTCAACAAAAAGTTATAATTATAGATCAACGCCTTTTATGAAATTTAAATTTGGACAAAAAGCAACTGCTCAAATTTTTTATTTGCCAAATAACAAAGAAAATATCAATAATGATGGACAACTAATTGATAGAGCATTGGCAGTATTGCAATTACAAACCGAAGAAAGGTTGTCATCAATTAATAATAATAATTATTATAAAACATTGAATAATTTTCATAAAGGGCAAATAATCAAAGGTGAAGTTACTGGTGTAGAAAAATATGGTATATTTATAAAAATAAATAATAGTTTGGTTGGTGGGTTATGTCACATATCAAAATTGTCAGATGATTTTGTTAAAGATGTAAATAAACTTTATAAAATTGGGGATAAAGTTAAAGCAGTTGTATTGGAGATAGATCATGAAAAACAAAAAATCAGCTTTGGATGCAGAAAAAGTTGTTTTGAAGGTATTGAAGATGGCGACAGTTGTGGTGGTGATGATGATGATGATGATGATGATGATGATGATGATGATGATGATAAAGCAAAAAATGATATGGATGTATGTATCAAAATGATTTTATTTATTTATTATTTAAATATATTAAAATAAAATTATTATTTAGGTTGATGAAAAAAAACCTAATTCAAATAATTTAAAATGGGAAATTGATTCAGAAGATGATGTGCCTGATTATGTTGAGAGTGATGATGTTGGTGATGATGTTGATGCAATGAAAGTAGACATTGTCAAAACACAAGAAACTATCACACCATTAGTTGTCTCTAATAAATGGAAATGGAATGGTGATGATGATGATGATGATGATGATGATGATGATGATGATGATGATAACAATAATAATAACAAATCAGAAAAACATCAAATTGATTCACAAGAATCATCAAATTCAGAGGATGACTTATCAATGTCAGAAAAGAAGAAAAAGAAAAGGAAGAAAAAAAAGCTTGAAATTGTGGAAGACCTTACATTGGATTTGTTAAAACAAAGGCCAGAAGTGAATGCAGATTATGAAAGATTATTATTGGGATCCCCAAACTCATCATATCTGTGGATAAATTATATGGCACATCAACTAAAATTATCAGAAATTGAAAAGGCAAGGGAGATTGGAGAACGAGCACTTAAAACAATAAATTTCAGGGAAGAAGAGGAAAAATTTAACATTTGGATTGCCTTGTTAAATCTAGAAAATAATTTTGGTACAAGTGTAAGTATGAGCGAAGTGTTGAAAAGAGCTTTATTATCATGTGATCCAAAAGAACTTTATATGACATTAGTTGACATTTATGAAAAAAGTGACAAAGAAGAGGTAATAATTTATTAAATAAATATTTAACTATTTGATTATTTGCACATACTAATCTAAAGTTTGTTATATAGCTTACTGAACAAACTTATCAATTGATGAGGAAAAAATTTTCTCAAAGTTCTAAAGTTTGGGTAAAAATAGGTTTATATTATCTTCAACACGGAAAATTAGAAGCTTTACATGACCTAATACAGAAATGTGTTAAAATATTGCCAAAATATAAACGTAAAATGATTTATTATTACTATTATTATCATTACTGTTATTTTAATTAAAAAGTAAATACACATGCATATTTATATTTTAACAATGATAGATGTTAAAACTTTATCAAAATTTGCACAAATGGAATTTAAACATGGCGAGGCTGAAAGGGGGAGAACAATATTTGAAGGAATGATGAATAGTTATCCAAAAAGAGTTGATTTATGGTCAATATACATAGATATGGAAGTTAAAGCAGGAGATCAAAATATAATTCGGTAAACTTATTATCATTTATTTATTATATGATACTTGACTTTGATATTGAATAATTTTCTTTATTAATTAGTCGATTGTTTCAACGTGTTACATCAATGAAATTTTCTACCAAAAAAATGAAATTCTTATTTAAAAAATGGTTGGATTATGAAAATGAATATGGCAATGAAGAAAGTGTTGAAAATATTAAAGAAATGGCTAGAAATTATGTTGAGAGATTAAATTAATTTCACATTTATTTTTCTAAAAAAAAATTATTATCTTAAAATAAATGAATTTTCTATGAATCTTTGTTTTTACTCATTTTGCATCAAAGATGTTAATTGGGCTTATCCTTGGCTTTTACTTCATTGTGAAATCTTTAATTCAAAGAAGAATCTAGCTATATCATTCCCCCCAAAAAATTGGAGTATGCTCCTATTAGAGTTCTGCAAGTGACCATTCCATGAACTAGTGCCAATGCCTCCGAGTGCCTGTCACTTTTTTATTAGGCACCAATGCTTTGCTTGTGCCAGTTCCTGCGCCTCGAGATTTTAGGCACATGCCACTCATGCCTGGCTTAAGGTTGCTTGTCACAATTACTGTGTAATCCGCTGAAACTCTGCCAAATTCTAATAAAAAATTAGTGCGTAACATGTCGAAACTCTGCCGATTGATTTCCGGAGGAGTTTTGGCAAGCGACCATATCCCTGCTGAATATTTTTATATAGTAAATAAATTTATACCTTTGCAAATGAGGAGATAAGTAGTTTAACAAAGTGCAATTTTTTTTGTCACCGCCTTTTTTCTTAACGCATTGTAATACATAGGCAAACTCAATAAGTCAGCCGCGAATGGCTGAGAATGTTTGGCTGACTTATCGAGACCGTCTTACAGAGAGCACGTGACATAAAATTTTTACCTTTTTATACATAAATAAATGTATTTTCACGATACAAACAAGAATATTCTTTCTAAATTATCAGGTAATAAATTATACAATCAATGATACATAACCCAATGATACAAAAATGAAATAATAAAATATCGCGACAAGAATTTCTAGATATAATAATAACGTATGATATAAAATTTTTTAAAAAAAAAAAATCATACGTTACTATATAAAAGTAGTAGTAATGATCTTTTATTTAATGAAAATGTCACGTCATGCAGACTTATCGAGAGCGATTTACTTATCCTAAAAAGAGGGGTTGGCTGACTTACAACTTATCGCGACTTTATATAGGTTGGCAGACTTATCAAGGGATTTTAAATAGGGAAAAAAAGGCTGAAAAATTTTGGCCGAGTTAGGCCAGTTAGGCTTATCGAGTCTACCTATGTAATAAAATTCTTGATATGCCATTTAAAACTTCAGATTTCAATATTAATATTAAAACTTTAAAGCCATACAAAATCACTAATACTAATTTAAATGAATTAATTATCTCTTAAACTATGCAAGGGCATTCGATTGTAAACAACCAAATTGTATATAACAGTAATAGTAATGATTTTCATTCAAGTAAACACAAACAAGTTTTATTAGTTAACATTAATAGAAAATTTTTTTTACACACACATTAACATTATTTCTTTATTTGTGATGTGTGATCCCTAATACTAATGAATTCACACCTGATCGAAAATGAAAACGAAAAATAGTCACACAGCAATAACAGTATCCTTTAACTTTTTAATAAATGTTTGTGTATATTTTTGTCACAGTGCTAATTATTTGTTTTATAAATTTTGTCCTCAGAAGTGTTTCAAAAGAAAAAGCAAGCACATTTGAATGTTTAGCGGAAAAAACAAATAGGCCTGAATATTATGAAAAAGGGACGGTTAGATCTGAATGCTTTAGTAATCTAGAAGAAAAAATTATCGAAAACACTGAGCGGGAAAAGAAGGAAAATACATCTGAAAAAGAATGTATTATCTGTACAGAGAAAGTCATAATAAGAGACTTCATGAAAGTTGCAGAACAATGTGATCATGAGGACAACATGTGTCAAAACTGTATTTGTGAATATATTACACTTGAACTTTTGAAAAAGGGGAACATCAATGTTTTATGTCCGGAATATGGGTGTCATAGTGTGTTGCAGGAGCCAGATATTAAAAGGTTTGCCAGTGCGGAAGCATTTGAACGGTATGTTGAAAGAATATATATTATAGAAACATGTGAGCAGTGTTGGCATTTGGTTGCTTTGATCAGACTTTGTAATAATTTGCTTATTAATTTACAAGCCTGTTAAAGTGCTGCATAGATTTTCGTAAATATTGCAGATATTGTGCTTATCTAAAAAATCACAACAAGCCTGTAATATTTTTTCCAGATGTAGAGGCAGTTAATTATTTTCACTGAATTTTTAAATTCCAATACTGCAACAACAAATTTCGTTTATTTTTCCTTAAATAATAATACATTTTTGATATTGTTACAGGTATCAAAAGCTCTCAGTAGTTCATGTATTATCTCAAATTCCTACTTTCCATTGGTGCTCAAATCCAAATTGTAATTCAGGGCAGATTCATTTTGAAGGGGGTAAATTAAAACTGTTGTAACATATCTATTTATTGACTTTCTTGATACTTTTATCACAAATTCTTATTATTTCTTTTTTCACTCGAATCTATTCCTTTCTTTTAAAGATAACGCCCCAATAATGAATTGTAACAGTTGCGATCAGAAGACCTGTATCATTCATGATCTTCCAATCCCCACTGGACGCTTTACCTGCACTAGATGCGATGGGATTCGGGTTGAATCATGCGCTACAAGAAGACCTCTATTAAAACCATGGATAAAAAAATTCCAAAAAAGCTTATTGTCACGTAAAGCTAAAAAAACAGAGGATGAACAAAAGAGGCGATCAATACGCGAAGCTAAAGAAATCGAAAAAGAGAAAAACAAGCTATTAAAGGCGGAAAGGCAGTCTGAAGCATTTATACAGTCTAATACAAAGGAATGCCCGAAATGTAAAAGTAAAATTCAAAAGGATGGAGGATGTGATCACATGACATGTGGACAGCCTTGTGGATACGAGTTTTGTTGGATGTGAGTAAATTTTGTTTTGTTTTATTCAAGTACCTGTGTAGTGGGTAATTCTGTGTATTTTGTGTCAAGAATCTTACTTGGGAAATAATCACATTTTTTTTGCACTACAAATTATCTAAACACGCACACTACAATCTGGGCCTGTTACAAGAGTTTCTGATAATACGAAATATAAATACATATGTTTACTGGAAAAATACTAACATTGTCATTATATGTATTTATATATATGTATTTAGCTGTCTTGCAGATTTTAATTCTATACGAGCAAATGGAAACAAGGAACACAAGACTAAATGCAAATACTACGCATAGGAAATGTATGATTTGTTAAATATGCACTTATATATATATATTGTATGTATTATTATTTATAAATTGATGTAAACTTTGTTATTTATTGAATGAATTATTTGTAGTTATTTTAATTAAATAAAAAAATTGGGAAATAACTTTTTATAGAATATATAATACTTCAATACAGATGTTTTTCACTTTTGATTTGCCTTTGGTTTTTTGATCAAATCAAGAATTTGATCCTACCTTTTTATTATTGAATTTTAGATTAATAATATAGATTTTTTAAATCTTTGATAATAATACTGTTGAGCAGTGTTTATCTTTTATTTTTTTTTATTCATATTATGAATCCAATGACTTTAGAACAAACCTGATTGTTTATTGATTACTTAGAATATTCACCACATTCGCCGTCACCTCTTCTACTATCTCCAGAGAATTAAAAGAGCAATTTGCTTGATAAATAATTTTTCTATTTCTGTTACCACCAAAATGTTCGACAATCAATACTTTATTACAAATTTTTTTATTACAAAATTTATTATTTATTAACATTTTTTTACATTCATATAAATAATTATTACTCTGTTATTCGCTAATAAAAATAATAATAACAGCTACACCAATATTAATAAAGACAGTTTACCATTAGTAACCATCATCAAAAACATGAGAAATTTTTACATAAACACCAATAACGATAATATCATTAGTAGTAGCAGTAATAACAATGGTGACAACAATAATCAAACTTATGCTGACAGTGTTCCTCCGTCTCCCTCACCGTCCTCGCCGTCCTCATCGTCCTCACCACCCTCACCATCAAATACTTCTGTCACCAACAACTTTTCTTTCCTAGTATCATCAGATAATAACAAGACAAGAATATTGTTAATCACAGAAATATTAGAAAATATTTTAATATTTATACCGGAACCAAATAATCTAGCATTGGTATGTCGCCAATTTTACAATATAACTTTAACTTCGCCAATTTTTAAGCGTCGTTGGCTAAGGAATTGGTTAAATCCAAAATTACCCGATGCATTCTTACCAAAATATTCCGACTTGTGTAGAGCAGTCAAAACAAAAACACCATTTCATATATTGATGCAAATAATAGATTTAATTAAAATACACGAGAAACCCTTGGCTTCATCTAATAATGGTTCAGTAACAAAACTGTTTGAATGTGCAAGTCAACACAAAGAAGATTATTTATTAATACCCTATCTAATTCATAAAGGTTTAATGATTGAACGATATATAAAAGATTTATGTTACGAAGACTTTTTATTAACAAAGGAGGGATCTGATCCCGATAAGAAATCTCAAATAGACTATTTGTCCAATTTGATTACACCAGTCAAAACTTCAAAAGAATTTAAAAATCAATTAGCAAATTCAAAGACCTTCTTCCAAGATACAGATTTAGCATTCTCGATCGTATTACATGAACGATTGGATATTGCAGGCTTGCTAGCTTTACATCCTCAACACACATTAGACGTATTGGAAGAATGTGTTGACAGACAATACACCAAAGGTATTGCATGGGCATTTAGGCACGGGGTTGGTGAATTACAAAAAAACAACACATTATATTTAAGATTATGCATTGATGAAGCAGATGTTGAATCAATTAAAACGATCATCCAATCAGGTGCAAATCTTAATATACCACCTCCAAACGACTTGTTAAATTTTGGCTCAACAAGTCTATTGGAATTTTCTATTCAATGCTATTTAAAAAATGAAAACCACGTAAAAAGAAGATACATAATTGAACTATTATTGAAATCAGGTGCAAATCCAAACGCTGATCACGGTAGACCGTTGTCATTATGTTTGGTACATCATGATTGGGAATTGACAAAATTATTGATAGATCATGGTGCTAACATGAATTGTGAGGATATGATTTCTATTAGAATGGCCAATTTGTTCATTAAAAGATCAAAAAAATATTGTTCAGAACTTAAATGGACAAAAAAACTTCGTCGAAAAAGTTCAAGTTTAAATGGAAAATTTAAAAACTACATTCAT